CCTGCCACCCCCCCACCCCCCAGTTAAGACAAGCCAATATAAAAGTGAGGCTGTATTTATTTTTATTGGGAAGGCAGATTTACAGAGAGAAGGAGTGACAGAAAGAAAGATCTTTAATTCATTGATTCCCTTTCCAAATGTGGCTGCAACAGCTGGAGCTGAGCTGATCTGAAGCCAGGAGCCCCACATGGGTGCAGGGTGCCAAGCCTTTGAGCCATCCTCCACTGCTTTCCCACGCCACAAGCAGGGAGCTGGATGGGAAGTGGAGGAGCTGGGACATGAACTGACACTCAGAGGGGATGCTGGGACTTGCAGGCAGAGGATTAGCCGATTGAGCCATCATATGGACCCCTCTAGCAGCAGGTTCTTTAAGAAATGACTAGATTCAGACTTGGTGAAGGAGGAGGTTTTTAGGGGAAAGAAAAAGCATAGAACGAGAATTATATATATGAGAAGAATGTGAAACAAAAGGAAAATCTGAGTATGTCTCAATGTTAATGAAAAGTAATTGACTTTCCAGAGGACAGTTTGCTTCCAGAGTTACTTTCTCAGCTGTTGCTCATATATGCCATATTGAAAACAAATGATTAAAAAATGGTAGCTGTGCCTTTTGAAAATATTGAAGTGTACAAGTAATTATAAAGTAAATCTGCCTGCTTCCCTCGTCCCTACCTGTTACCTAAGGATAACTGTTGCCTTTGATCATCTGAAAACATTACAAATTATTTCTCTTTATGCAGATTTTGATAAGAATGATTCTATACGTATGCGATCGTATAAATATACTCCTTTTGCCATCCACTTTTTTTCACTGCATATATTTTAGATGTCTTTTCCTGTTGCCATATTGATACATCATTTTTTTAAAGCTGCACAGTGTTTAACTTTGTGGGTGGGCGTTTGTTTGCTCACATGCAGAAAAATCTTATAAATCTGGCTCAGTGTAAGAACGTTAAAAAGAAAACTTAAGGGGCAGCAGCGTGGCTCCGCAAGCTCATCCTCCCCGTGTGGTCCCAACCTGCCCTGTGGACACCTGGAGCAGTTCCTGGCTCCCAGCCTCAGTTTGCCTCCGCTCTAGCCATTTCAACCTTTCCAAAAAGATGGGAGGTCTCTCTCCCTCTGTGTCTCCTTCTTTTTGTACAACTCCGTCTTTCAAGTAAAAAATAAAGAGATACTTGGGGAGAAAAGAAGAGGGAATGTAGACAGAGCAAACGTTTGCTGTAGCAGGTGAGCTGGGGACACGTGGATTCTGGATCAGCAAGCCTGTTGTTGAAGCTTGGCTCTGCTTTGGATCCCAGCTGCTTGTCAGTGTGTCAGGCTACGGCTTGCGTGTTTGTGTCTCGCCCATCCATACGGGAGATTTGAATGGAGTTTCCCACTCGCAGGGTCAGCCTGGGCCAGCCCTGGCTATTGTGAGCATCGGGAGAGAGAAGCAATAGGCAGAACATGTCTGTCTACAAACAAATACCTAAATGCATAAAAGTTTTAAAGAATGTTTTAAACGATTTATTTCAAAGAGTTATAGGGATGGCGAGAGACAAATTTTCAATCCACTGGTTCACTACCCAGGTGGCCACAATGGCCAGGTCTGAGCCAGGCAGAGGCCCGGGACCCAGAGCTTCTTTCCTTCCTCTGGGTCCTCCGTGTAGGCAGCGAGGGCCAAGCATCTGGGTCATTTCCAATGCTTTCTCCAGGCCATTAGCAGGGAGTTGGATCAGCATTGGATCAACCAGAAAGTAAACTGGCACCCACACAAGTTGCTGGCATTGCAGGCAGTGGCTTGGCCTGTTTTGCCACAATGCCAGCCCCAAAAGTATGTGCAGTTTTATGTGACACAAGAAGGGTTAGTACAAGATTGCAAATGTAACCTTATTTTGTATGTGCTTCATGCATGGAATGGCAAGATCATTGATTTGGAAAAAACTTTGAAGATCCTCTTGTATGTGACATATTAATCCCCTTGATATGAACTTTGCTGCTTGAAAGAAAACAGCTTCGGTTTGAATGGCCTGACCAGCAGTGTCTTCAATAGCAAGGGCTTTTCCACGAGTCCTTTAGCTTTCCTTCAGAGTTCCTGGACTGTTGGGGTTGAATTCAGGCAGGCTGGCAGAATGTCATTCTTCCCATGGATGCCCAGGGGTGAACTTCCCCTTGCTTCCCATTGGTCAGAATCATGTCACGTGGCCAGAGCTTTAGCTGCATGGGATTCTGGGAAAGCAGGTCTTGGAATATTTAGACTGTAGTGATTGCCAGGTATCATCAGCATGGGGAGCTGAGAGAAGTTGGGACAGAGGTTGAGTAGATGCTCTACAAACTGATGACAGTAACCAGCCAATTTCATTTTAGATTGAGTCCAAATCTCTCCCCCTAGTGACTCCATATGGGTCATAATTGAGCTTTCTATTTAAGCCATCCCAAAGAAAAATTTTTAAGATTTATTATTATTTTTTATTTATTTGAGAGGCACAAAGAGAGAGAGAGAGAGAGACACACACACACACACACACACACACACACAGACACACAGCGAGAACTTCTATTCCTTACTTCACTTTCCTAATGGCCAGAATAGCCAGAACTGGGTCAGACCAAAGCCAGGAGCCAGGGGCTTCTTCCTGGTCTCCCACGTGGGCAAAGGGCTCTAAACACCTGGGCTGTCCTCGGCTGCTTTCCCAGAAAACACTAGCAGGGAGCTGAATTGGAAGTGGAGCATTTGGGTCTTGAACCAGGACGTATCTGGGATGGTGGTGCTGCAGGCAGTGTCTTAATGGGCTATGCCATAGCATTGGCCCCAGAACAGTTTCTAATGCAGAAAATATGTAGAAAGCTGTAAAGTATTTTTTTCTTCCCATTTCTCTATACACCTTTGTATGGTCCTTTATGGCGTGTCATCTTGGTGAAAAATACTGTTTACTGTGACCCAGACTCCACCCTGCTATGTGTAGTAAGCTGACTGTGAACCACAGCTGCACGTTGCACACTGAGATCCTGTCTAGCAATTCCTCCAAATTCACAATCATTCCTGTATTGATTGTTTCTTCTGTTGTGCCACTATGGTTGCCTGAGAGCAACAGGTCCGAAACTCTCCCCAGTAATTCTAATTGACTCGAGTCACGAGGACCAGTGGCTTTGTAGCTTTTCATCCCTTTTGATAACTAGGGATGTTACAATTTTTTTAAAAAGATTTATTTATTTTTATTGGAAAGTCAGATATACAGAGAGGAGGAGGTACAGAGAGAAATACATTTCTTCCATCTGCTGGTTCATTCCCCAAGCAGCCACAATGGCCAGAGCTGCACCGATCTGAAGCCAGGAGGCGGGAGCTTCTCCTGGGTCTGCACATGGGTGCAGGGTCCCAAGGCTTTGGGCTGTCCTTAACTGCTTTCCCAGGCCACAAGCAGGGAGCTGGGTAGGAAGTTGGGCAGCCGGGATACAAAGCGGCACCCATATGGGATCCCAGCGTGTGCAAGGCGAGGAATTTATCCTGGGATGTTACAAATTTTAACCACAGGGCCCAGCATGATAGCCTATTGGCCAAATCCTTGCCTTGCACTGAAGTTGACTAAAGTTTTAGGGATCATGGAGGGGTCATCGCTCGTGGAGTCACAGGATTTTGAGTCCTAAGATTTTGCCTTCTTGTATGTTTGTGTCAAGGGCCCATCATTTTCTGTCCCCAGTCTCCACAATTATTAGGTAGCATACTTAAGTATGCTATTTCTTCGATAGAAACTTTTAAGGAGAGAGCCCATTACCTAATATTCTGAGTCAGATATAAAAGGAGACAATGTTTACTATAGAATTCTCCCCTCTAACTCCCAACAATGAATTTGTAAAATTAGTAACTTTAAAAACTTGTGGCTAAAGTTCTCACCTTGCATGCACCAGGATCCCATATGGGTGCTGGTTGATGTCCTGGCCGCGCCATTTCCTTTCCAGCCCCCTGCTTGTGGCCTGAGAAAGCAATGAAGGATGACCTAAGGTCTTGGATCCCTGCATCCACGTGGGAGACCCAGAAGAAGCTCATGGTTCCTGTATTGAGACTGACTCAGCTCTGACTGTGGAAGCCATTTTGGAAGTGAACCAACAGATGGAAGATTTCTCTCTTTCTCTCTCTGTAACTCTAGCTATCAAGTAAATAAATAAATCTTAAAAAAAAAAAAAAAGAAGCTTGTCCTTACATAGTATCTTGATTTCCTTTATGCATCACTCTTTGGTTGTTTACCTTCTTCATGTAAATATCTAGGAATCAGGAATCATGGGAGGTTTAAAACTAGAATCTAAAGCTAGAATCTAAAGCTAGAGTTTGAAATTTGCAAAATACATTGGATCAATTGTTGTTGAACAGAACATAGAAAACTAAGTAAGATTTCTAAGATTTCAATAGCTAGCTGCCCACTGTCCACTCTCGTCTTCCTTCCTGATGTCATTTGGACCTACCACATGATAGATCTGGCCAGTTATAATTTGATGGTCTGTGAAAGGCCTCACACCTTGTTTTTAGAACACATGGATCTTTTACAAATTAACTGTCACTAGATATTGACAGGGTAGTAGGCTTCCCAAACTGGTGGGTAATTTGGCTTCTTGGCTAAGCCACATCAGATGTGGTGTGCTCCCTAACTTATGTGGTTGTCTCTCAACTTCTTGTTATACAGTTAAAGAAATCCATTTCAATTTTTGTGTCAATTTTCTTCAAAGAGAGATCCCAAACAATTGCAGAAGAGGTCTAAGTTTTTTGGGTTTTTTTTTTTTTTCACCCATTTTGGCTGCTTCTTGCCTGTTCGTTAAAGCAGTGGTGATCTATTCTTGTAGTACCTGCTCTGAGAAAGTGGCAGGACTGAGTAACCTTGTGGACTGTAGATTCAGATCCATTCTACAATGATCATTATCCATGATTGTATTGTGCTTCCATTCGTGCTCATCTATACAAGAGAATAAATGAGGAGGTAGGAAGTCCCAAACTGAAATGACAGACCACATTTTCTTTCTTTATGCTCCAGAAGTTCACTTGGACCCCTACCGGACATGGTGCCCTGTTGCAGACTGTCAGACTGTATGCCCTGTAGCATCCAGTGACCCAGATCAGCCTGTGCTGGTGGAATGCCCTTCCTGCCATCTGAAATTCTGCTCATGTTGCAAGGATGCTTGGCATGCAGATGTTGCCTGTAGAGACAGTCAACCTGTTGTCCTGCCAGCAGAGCATGGGTAAGAAAGTGAATTTTGTCTCTTTTCTTTGTCACTAGTGTGCTTAGAAACCCAGCATGTGTCGCTTGGGGAAGGAGTTGCCCTGTGGTGGTGCTTGGAGATGGTAAGTGGAGAAGTGTGTCAGAATCAGTAAGTTGCTAACAAAGCATTACTAAAAAAAAAATGCATTTCTAAAAGGGATCTTAGTTATTAATATAGCCCCAGGAGAATCTTTCATATAATATTATAGAAGTTTTGCCTGTTCTTCAGGTAGGGAAATTCCATGTTCCACTGGCTCCTCAGCAGAAAGTTATGGCTTGTTCATAGCTATTTATATAGGCCTGCAACTATTGGTACCTCAGAGTCCATGAAAAATGGAATTAAAAGGTAAGTATTCTGGTGTGAGAAATATGCATATCTTTATTTATGAAAGTGTGCATAGTTTTGTCATAATATACATTCTGCACACATGTTTTGAATACTGTTCCAATGCATGGATTTCAGCCTTTTTTTTTTTGGTTCCCAAATACATTAATTCCCTTTCCCCAAGAATTTTAGACATATTTTTTATTTTGTTTTTCCTGTTTGCAAAATGAGACCTGAATTAATTTTCTTCCTTGACTAAATTGCCATCCCGTGAGGTGTGCTCGTCATAGCAAAAGAAACTAGTGTGCTGCATAAGAAAAAGAGGCTTTGATACCAAGGAGAGGTTTCCCTGTTGTTGTCTGTGCTCTGGAATGCTGGGGCCAAGGCCATGAATTCCTTATGAAAAGAAGCAATTAAACCTGTGTCTTTCAGTACCCAGAGTTTGTGCTGCAGCAGCAGCAGCAGCAGGGTCAAGAGCGAGGGAACTTTATGTTCAGTCCCTTGCTTTGCTTTAGGCTGTGGCTGTCCTGCCTCAGCAGGAACAGAATTCCAATGTCTCGGTCCAGTTGGCCTGTAAGAGTATAGAGCAATCTTCAGAAATAGTGATGCTACCCGGCTAGGAGGCTGTTCGTGAATCTCTCTCCAAGTGGAAAGAACAGGAGGTCTGATACACACAGGGGGCCTGCACCCCCTTAGCCGGGTCCAAGCCAGGGCTTTTGGCGTTTTCACTGCCACAGCAGTCGGCTTCCTGGGAGTCAGAGCGGAACATGCAGAACTCGGAGAGGAGCTGCATTCTGACATTGGCCTCTGGTGTCTGAGTGTCCTCATGTAATTCATTCAGCTTCTGTAGGTCATTTGGTTTTCTCATTGGGAAGGAAAAAATAATGGATTGAAATAGATGTTGTTGGGCACGGTGTGGTAGCCTAGCGGCTGAAGTCCTTGCATTGCATGCGCCAGGATCCCGTATAGGCGCTGGTTCATATCCTGGCAGCCCCGTTTCTCATCCAGCTCCCTGCTTGTGGCCTGAGAAAGCAGTCAAGGACGGCCCAAAATCTTAGGACCCTGCACCAATATGGGAGACCTGGAAGAGGTGCCTGGCTCCTGGCTTCGGGTCTGTGCAGCTCTGGTTGTTGCAGCCGCTTGGAGAGTGAATCAATGGACAGAACTTTCTGTCTGTATCTCCTCCTCTGTATTTCTGACTTTCAAATAAAAAGAAATCTTAAAAAAAAAAAAAAAGAAGCAGCATCCCACTATTATTTACAGTTGCTGCCAGCACCAAGTCCAATCAGTTTTGCTACTTTGAGAATCCAGTGTTGCTGTGTGCTGGGTGGGCATGTTGATAAACTGTGGCTAATGTGTAACCCAGGCCCTGGATCCCCCGCCCCAATGTGTGCCACCTCTCATTTCCTGTGTCCTTTGGGCCGTGAGCCCGTACCAGCCTGTTCACCTGTTTGGAGCAGGTCTTTTCAACAGTATTGGACATTTATGTTATAGAGTTAGTTATTCAGACTTTCATCTCTCTAATGGGCAGACCATTATGTGCATGATCTAAGTCCGGTTTGGATCCCATGCTAACATCGTTGTTGGACAGCTGACTCCTTCTGACAGTGTATGCCCAGGAAATAAAAGATTAATTTGGCAATGGCATGCTTAAATCAACGGTGGCAAGTACAGTGATGTAATCTTTCTCACAACTGAAATAAATACATTTTCTTTGCTGTTTCGAGTTATCCTGACATCTAATAATCTGTGTCTCCTCTTTTTTACCCTCAACCTTTGCTTTGGAAGTGAATTAAGCCCCGATAACTGAGGGTTCACCCAGGAACCCCGGGTGTTGAGTTGATGATTGTCAACAGAACGCAATTTCTCACCCATTTTGTTTTGCAGAGCCCTCTTTGGAACAGACGCGGAGGCCCCCATTAAGCAATGCCCAGTCTGCCGGGTTTATATCGAACGCAACGAAGGCTGTGCTCAGATGATGTGCAAGAACTGCAAGCACACCTTTTGTTGGTACTGCCTCCAGAACCTGGATGTAAGTTCCACCTGCCAGGGCTGCCTCACCTGGTCCTTCCTGTTCTGTGCCTGCACCACAGGTGCCATTCCACAGGTTTCCCTTTACAAATACTCAGCTTATTTGGGATTTGTTTTTCTTCATGATATGTAATTGTTTTGAATTGTTTTATTATGAACTGTACATATGCATGGGTAACTGTATGACATTGTAGTGACACCTACAGAATGTATATCGATCAAGTAAGGACAATCAACAGTGCTTTGACATTGCTCTTTGACTAGGGGCTTGCACTTCTTTTCTTGTAAGCCTGCTACTCTAGCTTTTCAGAAAGTTCTTTTTTATTAACTTAGGCGTATTGTTTGGGTTTTAAAGGCAAACTTCTGTTGCAAGGGCTTTTTCCATTTGGGAAGATACTGTCCCATACCTTTATGGACAATTGGAGAATAATATTGCTATTCTAGCTAATTGTCACAGGCTCCATGGTTCTAAACAGCACAGATCTGTTATCTTACACTTCTGTGCACTGCAGATCTTGCAAGAGCCTCACGCTGTGGGCAGGAATGCATGTCTTTCTGGAAGCCTTGGAAAGAGTGTGTCCTTGCCTTTCTGTCCCTTCTAGGCTGCCCACGTTTCCTGGCTGTGATTCCCTTGCTCCATCTTCAGTGCCAACAACATCATGTCTCTCTGACACTTTTTCCATGATCATTATTCTCTGTGACCTAGGGGAAAAAGAAAAGATTCTTTGCCTTTGAACACACCCCTCCTGAGCTTGGGCCATTTGCATGGTGTAGGATAGTCTTCCCCAGGAAAGGGCACCGTTGCATTTGCAAAATCTCTTTTACATGAACTATTTGCAGGTTTGGGAACCACTTCATAAGCATGGGCATGGAGGTTACCATTGTTCTCTCCATTACAGTTAGGTGGTTTTCCTCTGTTATAATTTAAGGAAAATAACTTTTTCTGTTTTGTTTTGTTTTTTTTTTTTAACGCATTCTTTGGCGTGACTGCAAATTGTTCCCTTGAAGATCAGGCTGTTGGCCTAATTATTATTTCTTTTTACTCTTCATGCTTGATGTTTAGGATGGTACATATGAATAAGAATCTTTGTAAAATGTTTGATTTTACTTTCTAAGATTTTTTATTGACGTGTAATACTTGTACATTTTTGGGGGTACACTGCAACATTTCAACATGTGTAGCATAATTTGATCAAATTGGGTAACTAGCACTCCTATTTCCTTATTGTCTCTTTTGTGTTTGGAGTTGCTTTCTTGCACTTTATTTTGCAGTTTATGATACATGATTGGAAAAGGAATTGTAATCAGGAGCTAATGTTTAGTGTAACAGTTACGATGATGCTTGGAACACCGGAATCCTCTATTGGAATACCTATATTCAACTCCTGGATCTGCTCCCGGTTCCAGCTGTCTGCTAATGTGAATGCTAGGAGGCAGCAGGTGATGGCTCAAGTACTAGGGGCCCTGCCATCCAAGTGGAAGGCCTGGATTGAGTTCCTGGCTCCTGGCTTTGTCCTAGCCCAGACCCATCTGTTACTGACATCTGAGCAGTAAGCCAGTGGTTGGGAGATTCTCCGTGTGTGTGTGCTTCAAATAAACAGTACAGCAAATAACGAGAATTTTAGTGACAGTCTTTCAAGGAGAACTATCAAGTAGGGAAAAGAAAATTTATATTTAAAAAATATATAGCAACCCAGGTTGAAAGAAATATTTCTCCTTTAAAGTTATTTTGGGGGCCGATGTTTTGGAATAGGATGCCAAGCCTTTCCCTGTGGTGCCAGCATCCCATATGGATTTCATTTCACATCCTGTCTGCTCTACTTCCGATCGAGTTCCCTGTTTGTGGCCTGAGGAAGCATTAGAGGAAGGCCCAAGTGCCTGGGCCCATATCCCCATGTGAGAGACCAGGAAGAAGCTCCTGATCCTGGCTTCGCCCTGGTCAACATGGCCATGTGGGAAGTAAACCAACAGATGGAAGATCTATGTCTCTTTTCCTGTAACTCAAATTTAAAAAAAATTTTTTTAAAGATTTATTTATTTTTATTGTAAAGTCAGATATATATAGAGGAGGAGAGACAAGAGAGGAAGATTTTCTGTCTGATGATTCACTCCCCAAGTGACTACAATGGCCAGTGCTGCACTGATCCAAAGCCAGGAACCAGGAACCTCCTCTGGGTCTCCCACGTGGGTGCAGGGTCCCAAGGTTTTGGGCCGTCCTCAATTGCTTTCCTAGGCCAAAAGCAGGGAGCTGGATGGGAAGTGGAGCTGCTGGGATTATAACTGGTACCCATATGGGGTCTGGGCATGTTCAAGGTGAGGTCTTTAACTGCTAGGTCACTGTGCTGGGCCCTCTAACAAAAATTTTAAAAAACTATTTTAGAGATTTTCCCAAGCCCTCTGACTAACAGCTTTGATATTTAAGACCTACTATCATTCTAAGTGAGTAATATTCTGGATAAAGATTTCAGAATATGCAGCACACATGCATTTAAAAAAAAAAAAGGAATCTTGATTGTTTTCATTCAGGTTTAAGCAGAGTGTTAACTGGGTTCATATCCACGTGCAGGCCAGGTCTATGAGAGTCATCGTGCACTCCAGGTCTGCCTCCCGTGACTGAAGTATGTCTGGTGGCCAGTGCTGCTGGGAACACACTGTTCACAGAAAACACTCTTCTCCAGCTGTGCCGATGAAATGGTGCAGATGTTCAACATCTGGAGACACAGAGATCAAACACTGAAGCATCTCTCTACTCACTGTTGAATCAGACGCCGTCCCGTTTGTTTTCATCAGGGCCACCGACTTCTTGGTGATGCTCTTGGTCCATCGGCGAGAGTTCCATGTCACAGAGTGGTATTGATCTCTGTTTATAGGGACATGGAAAGCATGGGGTGATGTCTAAAAGCCAAGCCCAAGGTAGCAAGATTTGGAGTGTCACTGAGGTGTTCAGCTGGTTTCCGTCTCGATCCTCAGCCCTGCAGTCCATGATGACAGAGTGTTGCTCTCCGTCTTTGAAGTTCTGTTTCCCACTTGTAGCCTCCTGACTTTTCCCAGCAGTGCTTCTGTTTCTTACCCACGACTTTAATTCCGGTTCTCTCAACATATCCACATGTTCAGCTGTGCCCCATTTAAGGAGTCAGTGAATCAAAGGAGCAGGTTGTTCCCCAGCCTGCCTCTTCTCGCTCCTGCCCCTCTTTATTTTTCTTCCTCATTTGGAGGCCAACCTTCAGAGAATCCTCATCATCCTGTTGGCATCCGCTCACCTGCTAATCACCACGGTGCACTCACATTGCCACCCTGTCACATCGTGACTGTGTTGTCACCAGAATCTGAGTGATACCAGCCCAGGCTTCTGTCCTCCCTTGCCCTGTGCTTCTGCTGCATCTGACGTCTTGGTCTCCTCCATGTCCAGCATGTGACCTCTGCTGAGTTTCCTTCTGCCTCCCTGGACATAACTTGGGTCTCTTGTGAATGTTTGATTCTTAAATGTTTGATAAATTCTTGGCTTCTCTAGCCACACCTGCTCCCAGATAATCTCCTTCGCATCTCTGGTTTCTTCATGAGCACTGAAGCCCAAGCCTTTTTGTCAGCTTCCAGTGTGTACAATCTGTAGAATGAGCTACCTTTTGGGAAGGACTGTCTGGAGGCTCTCAACTGTCTCCTAAGCTCAACCTGTACAAACAGAAGCCACCTCTGCATTGCTGTTTCTCTTCTCTCTGCCCAGCATCTTTGCTCTCAGCTGTGGTTTCTTCTTATTACTCTCTAGCTGTCCTCTTAGTATTTCCCAACTCTGCTCTCCTCTTCTCCTTCCTTCCTTCAGCTGTTATTTCTCTCACCTGATCTACCATAGCCTATTGCTCAGGACCTCACCATACCATATTACACCCTGTTGGAGCCTGCATTAGCTTTCTAAGATAATTAGGTCATTAATCTCTTGTAGAATCAATCAAGTTTCTCATTGGTTACAATCTGTTTTCATTCAGTGACTTACAAAATTATTAAAATATCCTACAGACTATGGGTTTAGGGCTGGCATTATTGCCTTGTGGGTTAAGCAACACCAGTGTCCTATATGGACACCAGTTTGAGTCCAATTGCCTACTACTGTGCCTGGCAAAGCAACAGAAAATGGCTCATCTGTGGGAAACCCAGATGAAACTCCTGACTCTTGCCCTTGATCTGGCTCAGCCATGGCTGTTGCAGCCATTCGGGAGTGAACCAGTAGATGGAAGACGAATCTCTCTCTTTCTCTGCCTTTAAAAAAAAATAAAGCACAAATTTTAAAAATGTTTTTTGAAACATTACCTTTAGGTAATCTGATGTCCTTTGTAGGAATCTCCCAGCTCAAAACCGCATGTTGATAGAAACCGTTGTGTTTTTCAGAATGACATTTTCCTCAGGCATTATGACAAAGGACCCTGCAGGAATAAACTCGGTCACTCGAGAGCATCAGTGATGTGGAACCGAACACAGGTAACCCTGACCTTGGAAATATCCCAAGTCAAGGAGAGTGTGCGATGGCTCAGGTATCCGCCCATGCCAGTCTGAGAGGTTCTGCAAGTTCTGGGGGCAATGTAGAGAAAAGCAATGGGGCAGCTGCCACAGTTAATCCAGAGTGACCATCTTATTGAAGACAAGTGGAGGGTCAGGGGCCCCAGAAGGCCAAGCAAATACTGGTGACCTGCAGTGTGAGTGCAGGCCTGCTTTTCCTGCTGGACACTTGTAGGCGAGGGCAGTGCTCTTGCAGCCCATGAGCCCCTGCTGGGCCTTGGAACCCTCTGTACCTACCATTGTGGTGTTTGTGCGGCAGGCTCAAAGGGAGTCATGGTTTATTTTTATATCTGTGAAAGGCCACAGTCCTTTCCAGGGAAGTTGTGCTAATAACCCAGCAATCGGTTTTCAATCCCTTGAGACTATAGAGACAGTTCAGACAGAGAACATGCCAGCAGCAACATTCATGATTAAATTGGGTTTCGGACAGAGCTGGAGTTTAGCTGGTTTGTGGTCACCCTTCATTTAGATTTTTGTATCTCCCTGGTTTGTATCTATTTTAGACCAATGGTGGATGCTTGCTTAAAAGAGCCTTGTAAATACAACTGCATTGTGCGTCTGAAATGATTTCTGAATCACTCAGGTTGCTTGGGAGATTGAAGCAGCAGACATGTATACCTCAGAGTTGTGGAGTCTGGGAAATGTGAGGTGTAGGGGGCTAACATGGTTGAATCTGGTGAGTGCTGTCTTCCTGCTTTGCAGAGGCCATTTTCCGGCTGTGTCCTCTCAACAGGGAGCATGGAAAAAGGGAGCAGGTGTCTCACATCTCTTCCTATAGGGTCACTAAACACACCATGAGGACTCTATTCTTAGAGCCCAATTAACTTCCAGCTCAAAAACTACCTCGGGGATGAAGGTTTCCGCCTGTGAATTTGGAGGGCACCAAGTCAGTCATTCCATAGCAGATGGTGCCCTCAGACTAAATACACGTGCAACAAGATGTAACTGTCCAACCATACTTTTCTTTTACATTTCCAGGTGGTGGGGATTCTTGTGGGATTGGGCATCATTGCCTTGGTGACTTCCCCCTTGTTACTCCTGGCCTCCCCGTGTATAATCTGCTGTGTCTGCAAGTCCTGTCGGGGCAAGAAGAAAAAGCATGATCCGGCTACCACTTAAGGATTCCCTCCCCTTTGGCCATCCATGTGCCGCAGATGTCTGGGTTCTAAGAGACAGCACAGGGTGTTACAGCCCCCTTTGGTGGCCTTGCCTCCTTCTCCTTGCCAAACTTTGGAAGTGCCTCTGTGTCCAGACTTTGAACTTGCCTGCCAGCCTTCGACATTAAGAGAAGCCAATTCCTCGGTGTGACAAGAACCAGGCTCTACATTCCAGGCTGTGTCTATGGAGCGGGTTGGACACTCTGGGGTTGCTTGAGAAGAATGCACACATCATCATCTTCTCATCCAAAGAATCCTCCGAGCTGTTCAACTTCCAGCCAAGTTCAAGGAGCCTGAGTGAACATTTGATGTAATAAATGTGTTGTGCTTGGCGACATATGTGGTCACAGAAATCCCAGTCTCCTCTGTGCTGATTTGACCACCTTGAGACACCTGATGGAAACCCAGAGCAGGAAGGGAACGATCAACTGCTGAAGGAGGAATTCTCAGGCAAGCCGAGAGCAGGCTGCTTCTCCGAGGAGTGGATGGCTTTGTGCTACTGGGTGTGCTGTTCCCAGTGTTCCTGCAGTGACCTGGCAGAGGCACAATGGCTTTCTTCTTGTGTGATCTCAACTTCCAGTAGGAGAAACTGCTGTGCACAGGGGGTTGTCTTTTCCCCCCAGTAAATGGGTTACAGCATGTGACACAGCATGGTCTAATTTAGGCATTTTCTTTTTCTCTTTCTTGGCAAGCAGAACTTCTCGAGGGCCAACTTGTCTCTTACAGCCTGGAGCTGTAGTCTATAAAATTGCTTTCTATGAAATGTGCATCCAGTGGCAAAGCTTTACCATGCTCCTGAGAGATCCCAAGGGGTCTTTCTTAGGTTGTGTGTTCCCAGCAAAATTGGAACTGGACTCAAAAGTACACCACTGACATAAATACTAAAAACCATGCATCCATCTGAAGTCCATGTGACATGTAGCCCAACTAGAATTTTTACCCATTGGACCTGCATTGGTATACCCAGTAACACACAAAAACCCACTCTATCCCTTTGGGACTAAAATGGTTCAGTATAAATCAACCTGGAGATATTTTACATATTATGTATGTGAATTTTGGCCAAGGGGATAGACTCAGAAACATTAGTCTCTTCAAACAGTCCCTAGAACTGCCATCTCTGTAAAAAAAAAAAATAAACACACACGCAGCTCATTGGTAAGCAAGTTATTTATATGTTTTTCTACACAAGTCAGAACAATCCACTTTCCTGATGGCTTAGTGCTGCTCCTTCAGCATCTGTTAGGACAGCGAGTGTGCTGTTTGTGTACAGGCACGGATAAAGCAACAAAAACATGTGAATGAAAGTGTTTTGAATCTCTTAAAGAGTTTGGATTTACATCACCTCCTTGGTGACTTATTTTTCCCATGAGACCATTAGACAGACTTGAACAAATGGGTTTTGAAGAGGTAAAACCTTTTGTTCCCACTGACAGAATTATACAATGGCTTATGTGCCTGGTGCTTGGTGAGAACCATACTGAGTATTAACAGGGAGCTTTGCTTGAAGCCAGGGTACCCTACCAAGAATCTTCAGGGTACATGCTATTATCTGAAGTAACTGGGTAACCAGCTTACTCCAATGCTGCTATCCTGCACTTGTTATTAAAGGATGAGGCCGTGCCTCTGGAATGGGATGTTTCCTGAGCGAGGAACTTCCATTCACACATATACATTGATACCTGATAAATGTACAGTGCACATGTAGGTCACGTACCTTTTTATTTACAGTTTGTACAGAATGTAGATGAGAACTCTGGGAAAACTTTGGCAGCCAACCCCAATCACTTGTAATCATGTATTAGAAATTTCTTAATAATAAGCATTTTTTAAAAAAAATCCAAACACTTCTTAAAAAAGAAAGCCTGGCTTTTATCAGTGTATTTCACCTTGGTATAAATGCAAATGTAGATATATTTAAAGTGTTCATTTGCTTTGTCTGTACATAGCCTACTGCCTCACTACGGGCAAAGGGCATTGAGAACTGCTCAGGGGATCACAGGAACTCAACCGAAATTAAATTTTTATAACAAGAATGTTCACAGTGGCGATGTCCTCCTGTATTAGTAAGCTCTATGGTTTGTTCCATAAAGAATTGTTAAATGGAAATGGATTCCCAGTCACCAAAAATGCTCTGTTCTTAGTGGAAGAGCTCTTGAATGTGGAGTCAAATAGAATCAGCTACTTTTTATTATTTTGGGGGGAATGGGACTTGAGAGTGGGGGTGTTTATCAAATGACTTTACATAACTGGATTTAATCTTGTTTTCATGTTGAAAAAAAATTTTTTTTTCTGAAAAAATTTGATGACTTCTTCAATAGCTAAGTGTAGATGAGATCGTCAGAAGGCAACAGGCGCAAGCTGGTAGGTCAAACGCGGGCATCTCTGGTGCCTCAAAGGGATTGGTACAAGCCAGTCTGGAGGCTTTGTTTCCCAAGGAGTGAGCCTGCAGTCTGGGGGGCAGGGGCTGGTGTTTTCTCTTAGGTAGTTGGCCAGTGAAAGAGTTTAACTTTGACCCACTCCACCGTCTGCCAGCTCTATCCTTGCCTAACAAGTCACCTTCATTGGGAAGAAGCACGGGTTTACCTAAAAAAGTTGAGATGCTGCCACACAGTCTTTTGTGTATTTATGTTTCAAGGAGTATAGTCCGTTTGAAAGAACACATTTTTAAAAAATCCTTCCCTGAAATGAGATCTGGATGTAATAATGTACTATTCAGAAATATTACAGGACAGGATGGCACAATGTCTAGCCAGTGCCTCTTCTTGGAGCTTTTTCTCTTGTCTTTAGGTAAGGGAGTGGGGAGGAATGCCACGTAGAAGCAAATGTTAGAATCTTAGGCATCCTATTTGTACATGCTGTGGGTATTTGCTTTGGACTTAAAATCCGTGCTCTGAAAGAGGCCTTTCAAGAGCAAATCGTCTGCAGTGTGAATGTTTTTGCCGCCTGCACCGCAGAACTCTTCAGCTATCCAGGTTTGAAACATCTACATGCTTGGTTGACTGTAAGCCACTGTTGCTTCAAACCCCAAGGTTTCTTTGAAAAACCATTCTACATCTAAATATATATTACCTTTTAGCCTTCTCTACACAGTGCTTCCGGAATACTTTTTGTTCATGAATGAATGCCTTTATGTGTGTAGAATCATGTGTATGGTAGCTTCAAAAGTAATTTCAGAAATGCCTTAGATGAATAGTGTTTTATCAAGTTGTCTCAAATGATCTCTCTGGGCTGTTACATCTCATGTTGACTCATGGTCCAGGAAGTTTTGTTATGTACTTAAGAAATTGCTATTGTGTTATATATATATATATGTTTTTTAATTCTTTGGGAGGAAAATACCTGTTTCAGTCTCTCCAACCCCCAATAAAAGTGTCTGACACTTCGTTGTGCTGCCCAGTTCTACATACTTGGAATTTTGTCTTTTGTGAGCAAACCAGATCCCCAATTTAAACTGTAATCCTCCTGTGGGTAATGACTCTTGCTGTCACTTGCAACTTGAGTTTTTGAAAGAAACTGGGGTAAGTGCAGTGCCTCTCCTCGTTGGAGATTTTCTTATTCTTGGTATGATATTCCACACTGCACTTGATCATTATCCGGAGAAATCACCGACCACACAGATCTTTGATTGTTCTAAAAAGAAATGCTGCCAGATGGCAAGGTCATTAGTTCTGTAAATTGAGAGTTGGATTAAATGTTCTCGAAGGCTAGTTATTTTCTTCTAGAAGTCTCTTAGAAGAATCTGTAGAATTTTTTTTCCCTTGTTGGTATGATTTTAAAAAGAAAAGGTTTACATTACAGTGTTAATGTAAGGTCATTTCTATTTGATTAGTATTCAAGGCGGGACTCCCCAGAGCTGAGTGCCACAAGTTGGTTAACAACTGGAATTTGCATTGCGGTAAAACCCAAGACTCACTTTGCTGTGCTGTTTTCCATGTGTCTGTATTGACTGTCAGGTGTTTCTAAAATGACAACTGAGAATGAAGGTTTACAACCTACAGTTCAGATTGAAATTCCTAACGATTCAGTTTTGAAGGAATCAGAAGATCATTTTAAAACATTTGGGGTTTGAGTTTCTTAATTTTCATAATCATGTCCTAGAATGTCATCATTATTTCATTTTCAAAGTGTGCTTATTGTTTGCTAAACTTAAATTTGCATTCCCAAAGAAATACTGAATGCTCCATTTTCTAAGGCACTCATTTTAATCAATGCCCTTGCCAGCAGACTCATTGCAATGTAAATTACCAATCTAGTATATTTGGAGAATGATAATTTCTTATATAATTCAATTATTTTCACGTATTGGTCGGTAGATTTGAGTTTTCTTGAGAACTCAAAGGTAATCTTCAACTGTACGTTGTAAGAAATTTTTTTCAAATAATTTAATAGCAATTATGTGTTGTTTGTATGTTTTTACATAAAGAAGAATGAGAAGAATCCTGTGAGATGAGTGGAGCAGATATTAGATCTGTTTCATGGAAAAAGCCAAGGAATGGTTTAGTTTTTATACTATTGAAGAGTGTTAGCCAGAGAGTTCACACCTGCTTGGAAGCACACACATGGTCTTTAATCACACAAGCAAGCGTTCCGAGTCTGCTTTCACTCCTGAATCTCAAAAAAATGTGAGCCCCTGTCACTTATCTTCCTCCATCAAGGCACGTGTAGGAAAGCAGTTTATTACTTCAGATGAGCATTTAGAGTCTGTGCTTATCAGAGTAAAAGCATCCCCAGAGAAGATAGGCACCCCTGAGGTTAAGCCCTTCTCTCTGGGATTCAGCCAGGGAAGCACACGAGAATGGTGGGTGTTCCTTAGAGCAGGGCCGTGTGCTCCGAGCCCACTTGGCTGTATTGAAACCCCATTTAAAACTGTTGTTTTAGTAGTTCAGAAAGTTTATGGGAAATAGAATTCACATGTTTATTTCTGTGAAAGAAAGACTTTGGAATGAATACATAGTTTTTCAGAATATGCATTCCCATGACTTTGGGATGGAGAACTACCCTCTTCTGATTGGCTCGTCAAAATGCGCACAGTAGCCCGGATGGGGCAGGGCTGCAATCCAGGACTCATAGTTGGAATGCAGGAATGTTATCACTGCCTTCTGCTCGAGTCTACATTGGTAGAAAGCTGGAATCAGCAGCCAGAGTCCAGGACCATACCCAGGTGTTGTGAAACGGGCTTGCAGCATAGTAACCTCTAGTGTAAATAACCATTCCTCCACGAGCTTTTTAGTGGACTTCGTTTTTTTTTTTTTTGCATCGGTATAAATTTATCTTTGAATTCCATCTTCTGTGAACTGTTGGAGGTACCTTTATGCAATGTTTACTCCAATGCCAAAATTCTTGCTTCTCTGTTACAAAGAGCAGTCTCACAGGCGCCTTTTGTTGCTTCCTAGCCGGGCTGCTCTTGATTGTTAACTCACTCCCAAGCCCTTAACTAATGACATTGCCAACTTCTCTTTGAATATGTATTTGTGACTTTCATTAAATGAATCGACTGATTATCGGTTTCAAAAGCCAGAAATGAGGCCCTCGATAATGAATCCACCGGATTTCTAAGCTGTATAAAGGATCTGTGCTTTGAATTCATTCCATTTTACACCTTTAGGATGGTCAATGCTATCGGTGTCATAGTTCTGTTTTGATTTTTAATATGTTAAAGCCAGAATTCAGGCTTTTAATGAGAACAAAATCAGTCGTTCCTAATGTTGGTTGTTTTTCTAGTGGTTTCTTACTGGCTTGGCATAATGAAGGGGGATAAAGTTGTATTCTGAGGGAGTAGATGAGTAGTTAGCATAAACAACATCAGACGTGTTCAGATAAAATGAACATGAAGGCTTGCTGGAGGTGAATTGTGCGATTTCTGATTATTGAACAGCCTGCATTTAGGTTTTGAAGCCAAGCCAATGCACTTAAGTAAAAGCAAACAAGCCCGGTACCTCTGCATGCTGCGCCCTGATTCCAGACTGGTTCAGGGATTCTGGCACCACAAAGGCACATGAAGGGGGCGTGCTGGGACAGGCTGGCAGACCCGATGTCACGGAAGGCACAGAACCAGTGTACGCTGTCCCGTCTTCCCTGACCTCTGCCAGGCAGTGTGGTGTAGGGTTGGGGACAGACACACACTATACAATAAGATGGCTTCAGGTCCAAGCTTGGTTTAGGACCAGCCAAGAATAGCTCAGTGTCGGCGTCATTCCTGGAGGCTCTGGAGGGGTGGATGAAATCCCAAATGCCACGATGCTTCTAAGAATTGTGTGTTAGGGGAGGTTGGAGGAGTTGGGGTCACTGTACCAGTGTGCTTGCGACTGGGAGAGTAAGGCGTGAGTTTTCAGTCCGACAGGATTCTGAAAGGAGAAGGGGTGGAGAGACGTTCAGAAATACACTCCAAGCTTGTGCATGTTGAGGGAGATAGGACCTACCCCCCTCTATAAATGTGTTGTCTTTGCATTTTTAAAGTAAAAATTCCTCTCACATTATTCCCCCAGTGAAGGTAATACAGACCCTGCTAGATGCTTCTGCTGAGGATTTAAGCTAGAAATACTCTTCTGAAAAGAGAGACTGGCAAGAGTCGTGAGAGCTCCCTAGTCCCCTATGATCTTAGACAAGTTACAATAGCTGCTAGCCTTGGCATTCTTATCTAGAAATTTAGAAAGCGGTTGTTTCCTAGGTCTAGTCCAAATCTAACATATCTAAGCTGGAAAAAATCTCTGGCTCCCACTTCACACCCCATGGACATAAGAGTAGTTAGCAGAAGGAAAATTCTCCTTACTACACAAGGAATTGGCAATACTCAAAAAGAAAAAAAAAAACCAACCCAATGATGGATAATTCCATAAGCTCGTAAAATATATTGCCAATTCACTTAAAATGTGCAGATTCAAAGAACAACAGTGGAACGGTATAGTTTAGCTATTGTTCGCTGAAAAGACCTAAGATGAGAGTTGCATGTTTCTTTTTGTGTTAGAAGATAGTAAAATGGGACCAGCAGAGTGACGTAGTAGGCTAAGTCTCCTGCTGTGGTGCCAGCATCCCATGTGGACACTGTTTCAAGTCCCACCTGCTCCCCTTCCACTCCATCTTCTTGTGCTATGTACTTAGGCAGGCAGCTAGTTTAGGGTCACGATTTTGGAAGCCACGCTTCCCCCATCTGTAAGTCCAATGACAGTTACCTATCATCGTGTGTGTGTGTGTGTGGGGGGGGGTGTTGCATAAGCACTCCCCTTTCAAGCCCCTTAAAAGCCCAGCTGAGGAGGGCCTTGCCCTCTGTTGTACTGCCTACTGACAGACTCACCCAGACTGGGAGGACAAAAGGTAGCAAGCTCTCCCCTCCCCTTTCCCTTTCTCGCCCTTCGAATACACCTTACTACTTTTTTAAGCCATATCAGTACCTGTGCCTAAAATTCTAAGTACAAGGCAAGAACCTAGACAATAAATGTTAGGTCTAAACCTAGACCATAACACCTGCTTATGGCCTGGGAAAGCAGTGGAGGTTGACCTAAGCCCTCAGATCTTTGAACCCATGTGGGAGACCTGGAAGAAACTCCTGGCTCCTGGTCCAACTCTGGCTGTTGCAGCCACTGGGAGAGTGAACCAGGAGGTAGACAAGCTCTCTCTATAACTCTGCCGTTCCAATAATAAAAATAATAACAACAGACAAAGCTTTATAAAAAGAAGGAGGAGAAGAAACAGAAGAAAAGAAGATGGTAAAAATTTCAGGACATCGTTATGATTTGAGCACATTAAGGTTTACTCTGAGTGGGTCAGCCTAAGTTGTTTCTTGTTTGACTTTTCTGTACGTTTCTAGTATGCATTCCATAGCCTGTGAATTGGATTAAATTTAAAGTCCCGTTGTATATAGGATAGTGTGTATATGTGTATATACACAGACTCCATTTCCTGTTCCTGACATAGGGTAATGCATACACATAAATATGCATGTGTGTGTGTGTGTGTGTGTGTGTGTGTGTGTGTGTATACTGTATGTGTGAATCAGTAGAATATAGGTAGTGGATGGATGGATGACCCATAATCTACTTAGGTACAAGTAATTTTGTAATTAGAGCCTTAAGTAGTGTATTTTATTCCAAAAGCTGAACACAAAACCACACCTGAATTTCAAAAACAGTGAATTAAACAAAAATGCAAAAAAAAAAAAAAGATAAGAAAAAGAAAAAGCATTTTGAGCGTGTTTGGCCCAGCACCTTCAGACAGCCAGAGTTTCAGCCTGACTCCACGTCTGGTTTCCGGTTTCTGCTAATGTGTGTCTTCAGCACACAGTAGATTGAGGGTTCCTCCCAACCATATGTAAGACCTGGATTTTAGCTCCTAGATTCTGCCTAACCCTGACTTTACCGGGCAACCCAACAGGTGGAAGATACCTGGT